TATTAACGATCAAATAGTGTATACATACTTTTGGGACACCTCGTATAGTAAAATAGTACAAAGTCGTTCGACGCAATCAAGATCGGAAAAGCAGATGAGTGCGATCAATTCCAAGCTACGGGCTTTCTCAGCCGGAGAAGATGCAGCTTTTAAGTGTAAAAGGCTTTTTTATTTCTCATGTCAAAATACGGAATGTTGAAGAAAGTCTATGATCTTATTTTGGTATTTCTTAGAACTCTATTTTTCTAAATACAAGGTTGCGTCCACCACGCGTAGGAAATTCTTGTTGCTGTCATTCTGATCGATTCTATCAGCATAAATTACACTTAGTAGCCTTAAGATTTTATTCCGGTTGTTACTGTCTCTTGAAAATATCGTCTTTAACATCGGCCAGTGTTTCGTATTGTGGATCTTTTGCATCGGCTTTCTGGATCTGCAAAAAAAAACTATGCTCTAATTGATCAGTGGGTATGATGGCTGCTGTGCAAAACTCTACTTTTGGTGGCTGTTTGAACTTATCCTTTTCTGCAGCGGCTTGCACGACCTTCTTACTTTTACTTTTGCTCTCAGCTTTCGCAACGTTGAACAGCTCGTTACCTATTCCTTGCAGCGTCTAAAAGTGGGGATCATCATTGTCGTGATAGTTATTTCATTTCAAGCTAATCAGTGTATACTTCATATGCCGGGTCTTTAGCATCTGCCTTGGCTATATTCGGAGGAGGTTTGAACTTCTTTCTATCTGGATTTTCGTCTGATCCCTGCAAAACTTTGATACTTTTTTCAAAACGGCTTTTATAAATATTAGCATTACCGGAATTGGTGTTGGAGCTTTCACATTTGCATCCTTGTCTTCTTTTTCGACCCTTTGTTCGGCTTCTACTCCTTCCTGACCTTCTGGCATTTTTTGTTCTGCCTGCTTCGCAAGCTTTTTATCCTAGCACATAAGTTGTGGCTTGATTTATCATGCAAATTTATGCTTACCTGTTCCTCTGCACTTTTCGGTTTAGCAGCTTCAGCAGGTTTCTTGGGCGACTTCTACAAAGTCTCATTAGTCAAGTAAGCTGCTTATTAGATATAAACTATTTTATTGCACGAAATACCCTATTTTCAGGTGTATAAGCCGCACCCTTTTTGC